GCAGCCCCGGCTCCGCGCACACACCCCCGCGGCCGCAGGGAGCGGGGAACGAGCACGGAGGGAAGCGGGACCCGGAGCCGCCTTTACCTCATGAAGCTCCGGAAGGTGCAGCATTGAGCAGCCTCCGTGCCGGGTGGTGCTCGCCGCTCCGCCGCCACCCCGCCGGCCGCTGCCCTAGGGGCTCCCGCCGCCTCCTGCTCCGCGGCGCGGCAGCTCCTGCTCGGGAGCGCTGGCTGGGGGAGGGGGAGCGGCTCGGTGGCGGCAGCAGCGGCGGCGGCGGCGGCCGGGAGAGGGGGAGGCTCGGGCGGAGCGTGCGCCGCGGGTACCCAGCGCCGCTCTCCGCCCGCCCAGGGAAGCGCAGCCCGGGAGGAGCCTCAGCACCGCCCCTTCCCCTTCCCCTGCCCGCCCGCGGCGACGCCCCGCCAGGAGCCCCCAGCCCCCGCCCCGAGGCAGGGGCGCGGCCGCTCAGTAAGTCTCGTACCGGGCTGAGCTCCGCGCAGGACGGGCAGTACCGGGTGCGGCCGCCGCAGCGCTGCTTCAGCTTGGCGCCAAAACCCCCGCCGCGGCGGGCCGGGCCGGGCCGGGCGGGCTTCTCCGGGGCGGCGGGGCACGGCCGGCGCTGAGCGGCGATGCCCGGCTGCCGCCAGTGCCAGCTAACGAGCCGGCAGCTTCCCGCCTGTAGGGCGGGAGGGCGAGTTACGTTCGTACTTCCTTACGGAGCCCGAGCCGCTCAYGGCTGCGCGGGCTTGTCTGGCCGGTCCCTCAGGCATCTGGGGCCTGGTCAGCGTGATAGAGAAGAAAGTGTGGGGAAAGGTTTGTGCGGTGGCATGTTGAGTGCGGTGGTAGGCGAGAGTGAACAGCCCTTGTTTCAGGCAGATGGAAAAGACCACAGTATTCTCACTTCGGTCGTAAATCTTAGGAGAAACTTGAGTATCCAGACCAAAGGAGATCTCACCAGCCAACTCAGGAAATCCTTCCGTGCAAAATCTTTTTGTAGTTTAATAGTAATATTTCCAAGGGATGGAGTATGTCTGGAAAGTCAGTAGCAAAGTGGGATGTATCTGTCTTGTTTTGAGTCTGCATTATTACCCTGCTGTCTGAAATACAGGGGGCTATGGAGTGTTTTCCAGATGCCTGTGCTGCTCAGAGAAGGTGTGTTACAGCTGAAAGACGACTTTTAGCTGATCAAGACTAATTTCAGCACTTCAGCTGATTATTTTTGGTTATCCGAACCAGCTTAAAGTACTATTTTTCTTAGTTTTGAAAATCTCTAATGAATTTTCTTAAGAGCAAATTGAAGGCCGGAGGCCAGGGCCAGTCTCCATGGAGGGACATTTTTCTCTGTGTGACAGGAGCTTTGCTAGGCAGAGCAGAGTGGCAGGCATAGCCTGGCAATGGCGAAGGAAAGATGCAGCAGGGTGAARGGATGGGAACAGGGTACATAAGTAAGATTATGGTGAAGTATGCCAAATTCTAGCTTTACAGGTGGTTGGTGGAAAACGTACAAAGACTGAGAAGCTCTCTGGAACTTCTGGTGTAATAGCATGWGGGTAGGAAATTGCTCTCCTATGCTTGTATTCCTTGTCTCCCTACAGTGTTGTCCTAGGGAAGTTAAAGCCTTGAATGTCCACAGCCTCTATAAAACCAGCCTCGAAGGATTAAAGTGAAAATGACTGAAAGTTGCAAGGAACGCTTGGAGGATCTCAGATACTGATTTTGAAATTTTGAAGGGTGTCATCAGACCAGACATTTAAGTCTGGCTGGAAATCCAGACTTACMTGAAATGATTCTCTCCAGGTTTAAGGATTGATGGATTTGGGCATTCATGACAGACAGGTGACCCTAAGGTTGTACTGATTTTAATAAATAAATAGGGCCAATACAAAGTATGTAATCTTTTTTCCTAATCCAAACTATAAAGGGGCTATTTAGATTTACCTTAGGGTTGACTTACTCAGACTAGCTACCAATTTTAATTTGTTGTAAATCAAATAACATGTACTGTCAGAACTAATATACATTGAACATATTTGGTTCTTCTATCCTTACATTTGTTACGTAAGGYACTTTGCTTTTCAAATCAAATTACTAATATAAATTCATTTGGTGTAAGTTCCTTATTTTTCATACACCTGTGTTAGAATAAATTGGAAACAAATCCTAGAAGATTATTCTGCAACTAAATAAAGTACATATCAAAAACCTGTTYGAGCTATTCTCAGTTTAAATAGGAAAAGACAGCATGTAAGTTAGTAAATTAATGTAAGAAATAAATTTAAAGTGTCTCTTTATAAGGATTTTTTTATTTTTTTTTTATTTTTTTTTATTTTTTATTTCATGATCTGAGCAAAAAAGCTAGAAAGATGTTWGGCAGACTTCTCTTTAGGCAGAATGGAAATATGGGTGTTGGATTCCAGGAATYTCACCTAAGTCTCTGAAATGCCTGGGTTTTAATATTTATTTTCAAATACTCTTTAGTTGTTATTGAAAAGCACTGTTTTATGTATATCATTAGTGTGATCTACACTAACGTCATAATCTCTTGCTGTAATCTTGTAGTTACAAGATTTTTTTKCCACAAATTGACACCATCTTTACTTACAAACGCTCATACAATGGGTCATGAAATACAACTGAAAACACAAAAGCCTATGCTCCCACAACTTGCTTTTAGTCTAAATTAAGGACAAACACAGTGCAAAGCCTCTAGTATGTACTTCTAATCACTTTCATTTTTTACTAAAGGATAAAAWTAAGTCTTGCATAATAAGGAATATGTGCATTGAAAATAGCATGTAGTTAAACATGGCAATTCAAAAATTTGACTTGAAAGTACCAGGAAAGTTTGCTCATTCAATTAAAATTCTGTTTTATCTTCTTTGTGAATCTCCACAGTGAAGTACTCTTGGTTGTGGATCAAGATCTGTCTTCTTGCAGAATTCAGATAAATAGTGAAGTTAGAATAACACAAACTTTTGAAAGGCATCAGTGAAAGGCCTACTATCAAGGAGTTCACACAAGATTTCTGCTTTTACAGGTAATGAATGATTAGTCAGCAGTATGTTAGCCAGATATGTGGTGTTTTGAATGAGTCTTGGACAAAKCACATCAGCAAAGTGGCTGAGAGGAGTAGGTGCAAATTCTGTAACCATGGGCTGATTAGGCAATGGTCATATCTTTTCTCAGAAGAGAAGCAGTGGGATTCGTACTTCTGCACAATTTGAAATTCTAAAGAGCTAAAACAGAGCATGTGGTTCTGATATCACATCCAATTAAGGGAGGTATGAATGAACACTTAACTGCCAATTAGCTTGAATATATGCATGGCATTTTCAGAATGTAAAAACATAAAAGCTTCAGATAATCTGACCTGTGGTACTCTTTAATCTGAATAGTTCAGAAATCTGCTCTCAGATATGATTACAGCTGCTAGTGTCTGGTTTGTTGCTTTTGCTTGTTTGACCTTCACCCTTCTAATTTCAGCAAGCTGCTGAGATCTGACTTGGACTGTGCTTGTACAGCTGTAGCCAGGTTCACATGATCCCTTGGGTTTTACTGGATGGCTCTGTCTAATAATATGACCAAGTCCTTTAGTCTTTACCCAGATTTTATTGTTTCCATCAGAATTTTATTACCTTTATTCATGTTATTTTTATTGGAATGTATTTACTCTGATCTGCTCTTGTTTGTTTTTAATGTATTTTAGATTACAATTGCAAGTGTAATTATAAGCAGACTGAAATAAAGGGTGCTGCACACCTGTGGGACAGCCTTATGAGGTGCTTCTTTCTGCATTGTGATAGGACAAGTTCAAGGAAAGCTTCAAGAAAGGAAAAATGTTCTGTTTTTACTACTAGGGGAAATAATGCAGCACAGAGTTTTCAGAACAAAATACCTTTCAGGTGAAACAAAAGAGAGTACTAAGTGATTACTTCAAGCACAGAAAGTCTTTTAATTCATGTTGATTAAATTAAGCTATGCTCAACATGTTTCCAGGAACTGCTTAGTGATTGTCCTCAGGTCTTTGTTAATAAYGTAAACATGGATAGTAACAATGACTAAGAAGTAAACAGTCACATTMAGACATGACAGTGTGTTGTGAACTGCAGTAAGTTATTTTTGCTCTGGTTTTGGTAAGGAGGGATTTCCCCTGTGCTGCCTGGAAATGTTCTTATTCTGAATCATGCTTGAAGATAAGGCAGTTATCATAGAATTATAGAGTAGTTTGAGTAGGAAGGGACTTTAAAGGTCATCTGGTCAGCCCAGCCCCCCCACCGCAGTAAGCAGGGACATTTCCAACTAGATCAGGTTGCTCAAGCCCTGTCCAGTGTGATCTTGAATGTTTCTACAGATGGGGCATCCATAGCCTCTCTAAGCAACCTGTTCCAGTGTTGTAGCACCCTCCTGGTAAAAAGTATTTTGCTTGTCTAATATTTTCCTTATCTAATAAATCTATACTCTTTTGGTTTAAAACAATCACCCCTTGTCTTATCCCAACAGGCTCTGCTAAAAAGTCTGTCGACATCATTTTTATGTCTGCTTCAGGTACTGGAAGGCTGTTACAGGGTCATCCTGGAGTCTTCTCCACGCTGAACAACCCAGCTCTCTCTCAGCCTTTCCTCACAGGAAAGATGCTCCAGCCCTCTGATCATCTTCATGGCCTTTCTCTGGACCAGCTCCAACATTTCATGTCCTTCCTGTGCTGGGGACCCCAGAGCTGGACACAGCCCTGCAGATTGAGTCTCAGCAGAGCAGAGCAGAGGGGCAGAATCCCCTCCCTGGCCTGGGGCTTTGAATGTAGCCCAGGACAGGTTTGGCTTTCTGGCTGTGCGTGCACGTGGCTGGATCACATCCAGCCTCTCATTCACCAGCACTCCCAAGTGCTTGTTGCATAGGGCTGCTTTTGATTTGTTACTTCCCCTGCACATACATGTATATACATACACACATATATACATGTACATACCTATGTATATGTATGTGTATATGTGTGTGTGTATATGTATATATATGTGTATATATATATATATACTTGCCAGAGACATAGTTACACTTGCTACTGAACTTTTGTAGTGTCCTGGTGAATTCAGAAATTACAAGAATTGTCACTGTACATATATTTTGAAAAATGTATATGAATACATTTGTAATTTACAAAACATTCTGTTGACAGAATGATTGCACTTGTTTCATTGCTTGCAAGTGAAGTAAAATCAATTTATTGGGACCTGCATATTGGTGATTTCACAGAAGAATATTTAGAAGCCTCCATGATCCATTGCTAGTTTTGAACATTCAGAAACTGAAGTTACAGCAGCCTACTGCATGTCATCTATCCACCTCCTTTCTAGCTGCTCTCAATTATGATGACTTGTCACCATTCACTCCATAATTACATTCTCAAGGTTATTTCCATCTCTGCTCCCGATGTGTCCAAAGCAGATATATTTACACCTATTCATTTCTGACAACCAAGTCTACTTTTCTCCAATAATATATTTAATATGTGCATTTATCATCTTTTCTGTCTAGAAGATACCTAAGAGTCTTTGCTTGCACCATATCACAAAAACTTCAATTTTCTTTCTGTCACTATCAATAATTTCTCATAAGTCACATTCATAAGTTGCTACAACAAAAAATTAAGCATTTCACCAGTCAAATCTTTTTACTTCTGTGGTGAAGTTTTTTCCCCTGGCTTTAATAAGAGAAGCCAGAGATGAATCAACTATTCTTCAAAATATTCCAGTTTCTATTGGGCAGGTTCTGTTTGGGTAGACTTGATCCCAGGTGATTGAAATTATGAACAGTGTCTTATAGTTAGGCCTCTAATCATGAAGCTAGCTAATATGCTAATTTTATTAATTAGGTAAAGTAATTTCCTTTATGGCATGGTCAAGAATACCCTGTGATTTTAGCCTTTTATTGTCTCTCTGATACTTGGTGTACAGCAGAAGTGGTTGTGACAGAGTGCTATGTCATCAGCTGAAGGTCATTTAAAAGAAGTAAATTTCAAATTCAGCTTTTCCATTCCATGAAGTCCTTCTGAGGTTTTTTTTYTGTCTCAGCCAGACTGCGAGGAAATTTGCAGTTACTTGTAATTTTAATAGTAGCATATGGTTCTTTATATTCACTTGGTACTTTTTCAATAATCCTCATATTTGAGGAAATTCTGAGTGTATGGGACTGCTTAGAGAAAATACTACTGGGGAAATTGGGAAAGTTTGGCAATATATTTAGCCTGTTTTCTGGAGGCAAGACAATGAGTCTTTCTGCCCATTTAAATGAGAACTTTCCTATGATCGATTAAAAAATGAGAACAGGTGTGRTACTAATAAGTTCAGAGTAAGAGGTTCATTTTTTAAAAGTATCAATTGTATTTATGTTGCTTATTTTTCCACAGATATAATGAATTTTTCCACAGATATATTGTCTGCTGCTCACAGCAGAGGAAAGAATTATATGAAATTTTGCAAATTAATATGAACTTGGAATTTACCATTATGGTGAAAGAAAGATGTTTGATGAATGGATGTGCAGCCTCAGAGCTGTACTGTAATGACGGGGTCATTTCACATTGATGGATAGGTTATGTGGTGCATTATTCAGAGGCTTAAAAAGGGGTTGCATTTATCAAACTCGGGGAAGCATCAAAGTGTGTGGGTATGATTCTGTGAGCAACAGAATCATTACAGTTTGCCTTTGAACAAAGTCAGGAAATATATTGATCATATAGGTTTATGCACTAGGGGAGCAACTAATGATGATCCAGTCAATGTGTTCCATGAACGGCTCAAGGGGGTAATCATTAAAAYATTACACCACTGCACCATTCGGGAACCTGAATATGAAAGCTGGGATTTCAAACCCTTGAACAGTTTGAATTTATAAAATAAAATTACTTCTTTGTGCTATTCCAGTCACTTCATCCTTACAATTCTGCTTCAGTCAACGCACTGGATGTTTGCATCCAGGGCATCAGCCAGCATGACAGTTGCAGCACACTGACAACATAGTGATCCAGCAGAAGGGAATACTGTGTATGAATGGAAGAACAATTTCCTAAATTCATGAGATGTAGCAGCAGMGAAGCTAAATAAGGTTCTTTGAGCCAGTACTTGAGTGCGTGCTTGGCAAAGTAGACATTGAATTGGTGTCTAAAGAGAGCACAGAATATCAAGTGTTGAGTAGACCAGAAGTAACCTAGACAAGGCAAGAGCAAATACAGAAATGAGAAAAGTATAGTCTTGATAAAAATGCTTAGTAATACAAAAACTATGTTAACAATATTCAGATTTATAGCCAAAAATTYTTCATGATGGAATATAAAAAAGTCCACGATGGTGGAGTGATCAAGGTGATACTAATGCCAGCAGAGGCATTGCTGCTTATAAAGTAGACTGGTATGTATCCACTTAGAATTTCACCAACATCTAATACCACTATTTATATCCGATCTGAATTTGGCAAGGCAGCTCATGTGTACGCTGTGTAATATGCTATAAGTATGCTGTATCAAGCACATAAACACTTGATTTCTTAAGTATATCTTTGCACTGTGCTTTTTATCTTCCAGACACTGCATACTTACACCTAATCATTTATATTTTCAGGGAAGCGCTTGCTGAAATTGTAACCTTCCTTTATCTAAGTCCTTCAATAAGACAGAAAAAGACTTCTAGCCACCATGTGAACATTTAAGTCATTATTTTAGATAGGTTTTGTTTATGAAAATGCCATTGACCTATATTTATCAATAACTTTTAAACCTTCCAGATCTGCTCAGCAGCCACCTCTAATCTAGAATAAATTGGAGTGAACCATATTTTTCATCCATTTTCAGTATCATTAAGCTGCCTGGATGCACTCTGTTAGGCATGAATTTTTCTTCTAAAACTGTAACAATATGTTCTCTTACACAGCTTCACAGTAAAAAAAAAGATTTAAATGAAAAAACATGTTGATAAGTCTATCAGATTCTGAATATAGTAAGACACAACAGATTAATATTACTTCTAGGGTAGTAAAGGCATAGATCCTTAAATCCCTTAAGGAAGCTGCTTCATTTAGCAAGTAGCTAATAACACTAAAAGAAGTACACAAATGCTGACATAATCTATGAGGAAAAAAAAAAAAAACAAAACAACAAAGCCTCTCCTCTATGGTTTCCTGAATTTAAGCAAACTTGCGGTAATATTTTATCTGTCTTACCAAAGCCTTATTCTGATGTTTGTCTCTCTGCTTCTTTCTGAAAGATTTGTCCCTTGACCTGGTGGGAAATGGGAACACAAGAAAAGATATAAATGAACAGGAGAAATGGGATGAACAAAGACAAACACATGTAGTAGAAAATCTGCAGCTGGCTGGGCAGTAGGAGTTTAATGTGAGCAAACAAAAATGCAGAGATAGAAGGTGAAATAAATAGCACTGAGTGAATTTTAAGTATCTTTTTAATATTATTATTTGTGTGATCTGTAAGTATAATTTTGCCAAATTCAAGATAAACTGGAGAAGCCAGATTCTGACAATATAAGTAAATGTTCTCTTACATATCTTAAAACTAGTTACACCTACAGYTCTACTTACCTAATATGAAGACTCCTTTCAATTTTGATTTTGGCTTTGCATTTTTAGCAGCCACTAAAATAATCTCTTTGGAAACTAGCTGAACAAACTTGCAAGAAGTTTTTTAAAAACACATCACACACTATTAAAATTCCAAGTTTAAAAGGAGATTGTTGTGGATTTCTTTTGCCCTCTGTTTACATATGAAGGGTTGTTCCAGGTCAACTGGAGAGCTGCATCASAATATATTGGGAGCTTTTATTTTGGTGTGCATATGTCCTGCTTGCTGTTTTGATGCTACCATGGTTAKTCTTCTTGCTGAGACCTGGGAAGAACATGTGTGATAGTGGCTGCAGTCACACTTGGGAGTAAATCATCCTACCCTTCAGAAAGTGGTGAACCTGACAGTGTAGAGTTTTGAAAAGTAAATGAAACAAGCTTCAATTATGGAAATATTGTTTGTTTTCTATTTCATCCTATTAATGGGGTTAAATGTAATCTAGATATGAATTTACTTGTGTGTGCCTTTTATTGCTGAATTTGAAATGTACGTGTAACCAGAAACAATAAGGCAAGTTCAAAAACATGCACCTTTAACAGTCATCTAAGTCACAAACTGCATAATGCTGCTGAGAAAAATAAGTACCAACTTGTGTATGGATGTTGTGGTTTAACCCCAGCCAGCAACCAAGTCTCACATAGCCACTCAATCATTCCCTCACAGTGGAATGGGAAAGAGAATTRGAAGAGTATAAGTGAGAAAACTCATGGGCTGAGATAAAGACAGTTTACTAGGTAAAGCAAAAGCTTCACATAAGCAAATAAAACCAAGGAATCCATTTACTACTTCCCATGGGCAGGCAGGTGTTCAGCCATCCCCCTGAAAGCAAGGCTTCATCATGTGTATTTGGCAAGAACAAATGCCTTCACTCAAAATGTACCCCCCCTTTCTCATTTTCCACCAGCTTTMAATACTGAAGGTGACACTGTATGGTCTGGAATATCCCTTTGGTCAGCTGGGGTCAACTGCTCCACATGTGTCCCTTCCCAACTCCTTGAGCAGAAAATGCCTTGACTTTGTGTAAGGGCTGCTCAGCAATAACAAAAACATCCCTGTTGTGTTATCAACCCTGTTTTCTGCACAAATCCAAAACACAGCCTCATACCAATCACTGTAAAGGAAATTACCCCACCCAAACCAAGCACARCGGATGAGGGAAAAATTGGCAATTTGTTCTGCTGAATATGTAATTTTCCTTTTTCACTCTTCTACTATGAAATATATTTAGTTTATTTTATGTACATGGAAAATAGGAAASTTCATAATAAAAACTGTTACAAAGATAAAAGTCTTACTTAAGTTTTGAGGTACACATTTTTGTCTCCTAACCATCACCACTGCACAGAAGAAGAAATACTAATTCTGAAATTGAAGAACTACACAGAAAATATGAACTATTTCCATTTCAATATTCTTTTAAGTTAGTTGTTCTTTCTTCTGGGTTTTGGGGAATGTCATCAGAGAAATGAAGGGGTTGAAAGGGTTCCATGTTTGATAATCTATTTGAAAAAAGCGTAAACTTGTTTTCATGCTGGTTGTATCAACTGTTTTGGTTTGGGGGTTGGTTTGTTTGTTTGTCTGGGTTTTTAATAAGTAGTCTATTACAGATGGGCCCAGATCCAAATGACACCACCTCTGCTCCATCCTGAATTGTGTATATAAGGTTGCGGATACCAATCTGAATGCCATGAGCTAGAGCAGGATGGAGTGGAGTTTGTCTTAAGACACRATTCTCTCATTCTTTGAACTTGGAATTGTCATGAATTTGACAGGTACAAGCTAACTAATTTTTGCCTGGTCCTTAAATAAACTGGAAACTGTACACTGTCCTGTTACAAGGAGTGATGTCTTTTTATGTTTCTGAAACTGTAAGATGGTCCTTWGCTGCTTGTGGCTTTCTAAATTTGAGTTTCTTTTGTTGCTGGTGTTATTCACTGGAAAAGAATGTGGCCCCATTTCCAGTGAGAGAGGCTATGAAATGTTAAAAAATAGAAGTGATAGATGGATTTTAAAGGGACAAAAAAAAAACCCCAAAGAGGTCAGAATTTAGAGGAAAGCAAAAGAAGGCCTTTTTTTCCCATTCAGCAACAACCAGTAGCTGTGGAGTTAATTTCCTGCTGAAATAATTAAATTCTATCACGTGACAGTTACAAAGAAGTATATAATAAAGAATTTTCTTTAAAAAAAATCTACACAGCTGTTTTTAAATGTACATCACTCACTCCCTGCTCCCTTCCCCCATCTCCTTGGCTTCTTGTTTCAGCATAAGACATCTGGCATACAAGTTATTCAAGTTCAGAAACCAGTTACTGAAATCTAATTAATATATGAGTACTAGTGGGTTTAGACCATAACAAGTTCCCTAATTTATTTTAATTTATTTTTACAAACAGTTGGAGTAATCCACAGATGTTCATGACAGATGTCAAGCACAAGGATTGCTGTAGCAGCTTTTGTGTAACAAATGGCAAGTGAGAAAAACTGACATTAAGTACCTGCAAGATATTTAGATGTTGTAGAATTTTGAAGCCATTGAATTGTGGTATCAGAAAATTTTGCAAAATACTCATGTCTGGATAGGACATGTATTATACATATCTGTACTTGAAAAGAAGGCCTCTAAGAAACTATTTTGGGAAAGAAATTAGATTTTTATATTGTTTTAATCGTATATTAATTGAGGGTCAGTCACTGTGGGGAAAACAGGTTCGTAAATCACTTGTGATTGGCAAGCAATTAACTTCTGGTAAATGAATTGCACAGGCAATGGAGTAATATGATTTGACAGGTAAAAGCATTTGTTCATTTRAGTAACATTAACAAATGATCAAAACTTGCTTAAAATTCAGGTAAACATTAGATCCACTTAGAAATTCCATCTTGCAACAATATTTTAACATTTAGAATTTCTGAATCAGAGCAAACAATAGATATCTCAAATTTTCCAGCAGAATGAAAGTACTGTATTTTATTTAGAATCACTGAAGAATTTTAATTATTTTTTTCCAGAATTTAGTAAGGTGAAATGGACTGATAACTCTTAATATCACAAAATCCATAAAATACAACAATATATAAACCAGATTTTACTTAAAGTATTACATAGTTAAAAGAAAATAWTAAGTGATAGCTTTTTTCCCCTTTTCTTTCAAATAAGCATTTTAAATGGTTTGTTTCCAAGTGTTTATGTCTGTATCTCAGTAAGATGTGGTCACATTAAGTGAACTTGAGAATGAATATACTTCAGGAAATGCATATCTTCCGCTCTAAGGAAAACATTTACTTCAGGAGATACCTTAATATGATAAAATCCTAATATGAGCAAGGTAGTTTGTAGTTATTACATGCTATCTTGATGAAGRTAAATAGGTAGGAGCATAAGATTATTTTAACCATCTAATACATATAATGAGATATTGTTCTAACTTCTTTTCCTTTTGCCTCTTCCCTAATTTTTCCTTAGTAAAGACAAAGGCCAACATAGAATTGTTTGGATCAGTTGCTATCAGTTATGCTAGGGATTTGATTCTTAGCAAGATATCCCAAGACAAGCTCACCTGCCCAAGAAAGTAAAATGCTGAAGTGTCACTGCAAATTCTTGAATTATGTTAGTTCTGTCCAAACTTAAATACTTTAGCCCAATTCAAAATCAGTGACATTTCTTCTGCAACTGTGCCAGTCCTCTTAACAACAGCCTGAAGGCAGATACCTTGCAGATTGGAAACTCAGAGATTTTCTGTCCTGGGGCAGGTTTGTTCTTACAGCTCTGGCTTTAGGAATGAATGGAGGCCGATAATGATACTGTTCCATGGAAATGTCCACTGTCTTAATCAGCATACAATAGTTGTCTTGTAAAAACCAAAAAGTAAACTTTCACATCCTTGTCAAATTCCAGTTTAGATAGAAGCAGCCTGCGTACAAATTTCCTACAATTTCAGATGGCTATTAACCTGTGATATTGCATGGCATAGCTAAGCAGCTGTTGCTTTTTGTTTGATGTAGATGTATTAAGTGAATCCCTCATGTTTCTGTTGTTTTGTTGATTTGTTTTTTTCAACAAAACATATTGGGAATCATAGAAGCTTCAGGAGTGTCAACCATTATTCATTTTTTTCCTATTGAGTCTAATTCTTGCAGTGGTATACATGAAACCTGTTTTTTTTTTTTTGTTTGTTTGTTTTTTATAATAAGAAATGTGATTTTACTGGTAGCCTTGTTCTTAGGCCACTTAWATACACTGATCTCTAAGATACCTCACATTAAATTGACCATAAGATAGGATCATTGCAGTTTTTAAAAATAAAGTGCTGTTTAATAGATAAAAACATGACAGTTACAATGATATTTAATAGATAAATAGCTATTTAATAGATAAAAACATGACAGCTGACAGAAAGTCAGCTTATTACTTTTTATCATATGCCAGGGTGCCATATTTAGGAATGTTGGTTCTTAATTTCTGCAATTTAAACAGATTTGGATGGATTTTTGGTATCTATTGAATTTGACAGATCAGATTGATAAAAACAGCAGAACAGAGAACATCCAATACAGGAATCAGATTCACCACAAATCAAATCTGAAGTGCGAGCTTATTCCAAACTGAGAAGGTCATTGTAGCAGTGAGGATTTTGTCAGCTGTATAAGTATGACTTCATTCTATGCCTGCAGAGAAGATACAATTAAGTGTAATTCAGTTCTTGGATAATAGCATTTATTGTCTTTTTCTCTCTATACCTCCTTTCCTAAAACTCAAACATCTTTATAGTTCATATGTTCTGGAGATGTTTAGCATAGCAGGTATAATGAGCAGATTTTATTTCTTTTCTGCAATGTATCTGAAGTATCTCATTAAAGAACAGGTACTTTAAATGAAAACTAGTTAGAAGGTCTTTAAACAAGAATATGAAAAGTTGCAACTACTAACCTTCAGTGGTAATGTTATAAACTCCTTTGATAGCTTACTGATGGATAGGTGAACCAAAGTACTGATTTGTTAAGTGACTCCTTTAGTATTCATTAATGATAATGCTGGAATTCATGTGACTTGTTTACTTAAAAATGCAATCCTCTTGATATCAACACAATTTTTGCTATTGTCTTCAGTAGGGCAAAAATTGCCTCATAATCTAGATTTCTGGTATTTCTAAATACTRGTTTTCCCTTTTTAAAATAATGCCGAAATAGAACACTATAAAGGGAATCAAGTCATTATTTTAATATAGATATAACCAATCTGCACTATTTGGAATTTTTAAATGAATGTGTGAAGTAATTAACATTACTGCAATGATACCAACCTGTTTCTTCAGTTAACTATGGAATGGATAGCTATATGGAATAGAAGATCAATATCCAGCAAGTATAGAAGCCAGATAAGGAGTTTCTTAGGGGAGATAAGACACCACTATTCACTATGCATTTGACTTAAATCTAGAAATGAGTGGAGGAGAAGAGACAGGTATGTGAGTTACTCTGCAAACATTTATTTTTATGAAATTTCTCTCTTCCTCTCTTTTTTTTTTTTCTTAAGGAATTAAATTTCTACTTCAGAAATCACATTCTGGCAGAGGGAAGTTATCTTTTTTAGGAACACAAACTGAGATTATGGACAAAGTAATATTAGCAGGAGATACAGACATTCCAAGAAGCCAAATTAAAGRTCTTAAATCAGCATTAAAGTAAATGTAAATCAGTTAAAAAAATAGGGAGAGAAAGCTAACACTCTTTAGTTTCTGCAATGGTAAATGAAACCTAAAGTTGGCAATGGAATGTGGAAGGCTCCTTAGGAAGAGTGTTACAGCATGGAGGGACTGGATCAACTTGATGAAAATGGTTTCTGCAGGAACTAGATGAGGGCTGTTTTCATCCCTCCTTTCTGAAGGAAGGAAAAACCTGTGACAGTTTGAGGCTTTGATTATTATATTAGTGGTCCAAAGTAAAGTTTGAATAATGATAAAACTTGTAATGGAAAGGTAACTTTCAGATTTACTGCAGGCAGGCATTAATTTTTAATGCACACTAATTCCTCAGGCCTTTTCCTACAGTATTTATTATTACATATTCAACATGTTACTGTACATAAAAACAAGTCTTTAAAACTGGCAAAGTTAAACATGTCTTTCTTGCCACACCAGCATGTTCTTGAAGCCAAAAGTTTAGCTGCAAATTGTTCTTGCAAATCAAAATCTAAGTTTTTTTTTTTAAACTATAAAGACATTTTGAATGTAGAAGAAAGGAAATCACAATTAGCTGAGTAGATGTAGGCTGTATATAACCAGTAACATTATAAGGGACTGACATTTCCTTGTTTTATGGCTCAGCTCTGGCAATATTACTATTTTAATGCGGTTTATAACAAAAGCAAGAACATAGTATTTTTGCTTTAGGAAGGCAGCACTGAAGAAACTAAAATGGAAAATCAGTTCTTAAAGTATTCAGTGAAGACCAGACTAAACACTTTAGTCAAACAGCACAGATTACATGCTGTATGTTCAAGCCATTCCAAGTAAAAACAAGCCAAGTGACTTTAGTCAAACAGCACAGATTACATGCTGTATGTTCAAGCCATTCCAAGTAAAAACAAGACATAAGGAGAGGGAAAGACATGAAAAAAAAAAACCCAACCCAAAGCAACAGCATATATTAATAGGTGATTATGGTATTTGAAAAAGTTGTGTGAAGTTTTTTGKTTTTTTTTAAAGGGTACAAATATTTGAAATAGGCTCTATTACAGTGATTATAATTTTCTAATCAAAAATCCATCCTATTTAAATCAAGTCCCTCCTATTTAACTGTTAACTGTGGTAGTGAGAAATCTGCCAGTGCCCAAATTAGTCTGGTATTTTCATGGTGTCAAATACTGTAGTATGTACAACTGGCAAAGAACAACATAGTTTCATGCATCAAGTGCCAGCAGCAACACCCCTCTAGTAATGCAGTTTAATGAAGGCTATCAGACTAGAGCATACTGAAAACCTCTCTCTTCCTCTTTTTTTTGGCAACCTTAAAAATATAAAGACACAGTCATCGCACTGGAATTTACATGACCTATTTTTCCAAACGTATGATTAACACATTACCAGCATCACACCCTTAAAGAAAAACGATTTTGTTTCTGATACTTTTCCAGACGCTGAACACATGAAGCAAGGAAACAGTTCCTGCCACATGCATGAAACTGCCACTTGACACCACATGTGCACACAAATTCCTATCAAGGCAAATTTTCCTTCAGATTTTTTGACACATACAATAGCCGTGTATTGAACAATTATTTATTTTCCTTTTGTGTGTCATGGCTAGAGACAGCTTTTTTAAGGCTTATGAGCACATCCTCTGAATGAGTATATATAACATTTATGTATTGTATTAGAAGTGTAAGTTTGTTCTTATTTATTTAAATATTGCACACTACATAGCTACAAGGTAAGTACTGAAATGGCAAAGTGACATGCAAACTAGCAATGCCTAAATCAATTTATTTCCTAAAAAAATAAATGTTTTGAATACAAATTTTAATTTTCTTACATTACTTTTATTGACAAACGTATCCATTGAGAAATCCTATATAAACAAACTAATTTGCATTTCTGCTGCTGTACTACCAAATAGTCAGCACTTTGGGACTGTGATCCCAACAAGCTCTAGACAAATTACCCCAAGCAGCCTGCTGCAGTTTTCACAGGACAACGATGGTGAAGTACCCATGTGTACTTAATTCACCCTAAAACTAGCTATTACTTTTGCACTTGCTTATGCATTATTGGCATTAAAATTAAAGTTACATCTATAATGGAAACAGTTGGGTCCTGCTGGCAGAAGGAGGCTCTCCAGGCTCTTAAGGAACCAGACGTGGGAATACCAGTGATTGAGACACAAAGCTGGCTGTGATTTCATGGTCTTTCTTGTGAAGCATCTAAGATTAGGTGCTAAATAAGCAGCAGTTTAGTAGTAGTCTAATGAAGGCCACATCTCCCAGGTTTCCCTCTTCGAAGGAAAAYGAAGGACAAACGAGACTCAGAGATGAATCATATGAGAGGAATCTGTGGGCTGGGAAACAACCTTACTCCTCTTGTGAAGGACCAGGCATAAGCCGGAAAGCATGTTGTGTCTCAAAACAGAATATTCTGACTGTTGTGACAGGAATGTTGTGACTGTAAAAGAGGGTCCTGCAAAGGTGGGGCAGTGCTGTGCTGAGCCATCTTCCTTTTCTGCCTTGAGACTCATGCACAGTGCAACTGCATCAAGACAGGGATTGAATTCCTTACTAGAGAGCACCTCACTGCAAGGYGCTCCAGGATCACTACAGGCCTCATTTCCTGGAGGGCTCTAAAGGGCTGACTATTGCATACATGAACAAAATGGTGCAAGAATCTATTTTACATAAAATGTGTGCACCAGGTAAACTATAAAAGTGGATTGGTCTGTCTCTCCGTTCTCTCTTACTCCCAGTCCAGACCACCAGGGAACCTGGAATTTTTTACTAGGATTGGGAGCATATTAAATTGTGAGTTTGTTAGCCAACACTTCCAAGACCTGAAGTTTGTTGTGGAAGCTTGTTCAAATTTATTGTAAAAACCAATACTTTTGAGACCAAATAGTGGGCTATTTGTTGGGAGTTAAGATGATTATACAAGAAGATGTAAGAGTTCCCTAACACATGGACTGGTGTATTTGTTCAGCATGAAAAGTTACAAAGAACACYGAGCACACTACCAAGTGGATTGTGACACCCTATTGGTGAAATGCTTCTCCCCTCTCATGGGAATGTTCTATTTCTGTTCCCTAGGAGGATCACAGTGGGACACCTCCAGCAAATGTCCTCCTGAGGCACTGTGCCCTGATGGGAGGTGGCTGCATACAGACGGCAGAGTGGTATCTCAAGACAATGGGGGATAGGAACCCATCCCCTGAAAACTGGATGYACAAGCATGAAGTAGTGGAGATCCTGCCTATTATCCTATCCCTATCTTAGTGGGCAGGCAAGGAGACAGAGCTGACAAGGATGCCTATGGCAATGTAACAAAATCCTATTATTAGACATCAGTAATGGGTATACTTCAGATGTAATTTTCCAGCTGTATTTTAAAGCCTGTTTGGTGACCATGGAATTTCTCAGATCCATGAACTTCTATAGAACTACAAAAATGTTCTCCAAGTAAAACCTCCTCAACTTGAGTGTTGTTTGGGTTTTTCATTGTTTTTTTAAAAAATAATTTTAAGAGCTCTGCCCGTAAAAACCATTTGCACCTTGTGTATCAACACAAGAAATGCATTGATAAATTCATGGTGATTTCACAGCAATTCTAATTTGGGGGTACTTATCATCATCTCAGTTCATCRAGAGCAGATCTCTTCTCTTTCATCTTTCCACGTTTTTCCACTGTCCATCTCCATCAAGTATCCATACTTCTTGCTGATAATGAAGCCTTCTCCTAATCAGCTGCTCCTCTATTCTGTTGCAGTTCATTACTTCCACAGCAATCACTGATCCCACCAGATACTCCTCAGCTTCCTTTCAATCTCGTCAGCGTCAGCCTGCAGACACACGGCATCATTCCAGACTGTGGSACCGCTCTCTCGTCGACAATAGAAATTGCTTCGTAAACGGGGGCAGCAGCACCAGAAACTAAACRCTCATGCTTTTTGTTACAAGTGTGAAATCTGTCACTACACGGCTGAGAGATGTCACCGTGTTAGCTCTGGGGGATCCCCACTGTTGCCAACCTCGCCCGCGTACCGTATCCCACAACGCGGCTCTCACAGCGCAGCTCTGCCCCTCTTCCCTCCCACGCTGATTTCCCACGCGGCTTCCGGGGCGGAGCTGCCGCCAGCCCTCAGCCGGCCGGGGTGGGACCGCGGACCCCGGGCGGGCAGGGGAAGGGGARGGGGAAGGGGCGGGAGCAGCGTGGAGGCTCCTCCCGGGCTGCGCTTCCCCGGGCGGCCGGGGAGCGGTGCTGTGTGYCCGCAGCGCACGCCCCGCCCGAGCCTCCCCTTCCCGCGGCCGCAGCCCCGCGCCTGCCGCCGGCAGCAGCGAGCAAGGCGAGCCGACCCGAGCTGAGCCGAGTCGAGCGAGGTAACAGCCGGCGGGGTCTGGCAGCGGGGCCGGGGAGGAGCTTCGCCCTCCCTCCGCTCCCGATAGGGCGCAGAGCTGTTTACCGCGGTCTCCCGGGGGCGGGAAGCGGGCGGCCCCCGCGGCGCGGTGCGTCCCGTATGGCGGCGGGCCCGGGGGCCCGTCCCCGGCGTCACTGCAGAGGAGTTGCCTGCGGGTGGGAGGAGAGGCGGCGGGGCGGGGGCTGCGCGGTGGGACCGCCCGCCCACCCACGGCCAGGTCGGGGTGCGGGTCGTAGCTGGCGAGAGGCGGCCGGCACAGCGCGGTTGCGGATGGGTCCCTCCGCCGCCGGGCTGGGGCTGCCGCTCGGGCCTGCTCTCCCCGGGGCCTTCCTGTGGCCTCAGCGCTCCCCGCCGCTGTGGTGAGCGCCGCGGTGCCGGCCGCCTGCCCCCTGCTCGCCCATCATCGAAGTGCTCGGCCTTCCGTAGAAATCCCGACTCCTGCYCTGCCTGCTGCTGTGGCCGCTGAAGGGAGGGTCGAGCTAGCGAGTGGGTGGAAAGGCTTCAGCCGCCTGCCCCGCAGCAAACAGTACGGAGTGCTCATGAACTTTATCTCGCCGGATAAATACACCCCGTTCAGAATTAAAGGATTCTAAGTACTCAAAGAGCTTGTTCGTTCGGAACAGTCGAGAAACACTGAAACCTGTTTATCATGAGGTTGTKCTCCCCATGGCATTGTATTCCTTCCGTACTTTGGACGCGATTTGCAGTTTTGCTGATCAAGTACCGTAAGGTCGCTGGGATTTCGGAGGAGACTGACTTCACAAACAAGAAAAGAATATACTTTTACTAGTACTTATCTCCTAGTACTGAAAGACTAAGGACAGTTTGACTGTTAAGAGACAATAAAATACTATTTTATACATTGTTTTGACAAAGCGTAGTCTGCATCTCAGCCTTGCAGATCTTACAGCGAGAAGTTTAGAGTAACACTGAACTAAAGCAAAAGCCGTCCAGAAAGAGAAAAGGTTTTAAATAACTTGTCTTTAGTTGTGATTTGAGAGCCAAAGGTTGAAATATAAACGAATAAAATTGCAGAAAGGCAGAAAAAAGTTAAGTGTGGTATAASTTGCGTTATACGTTGAAAGTTTTAGCTCACATTCTTCCCAGCGCGGTCACCGTGACCAGGACAGGGTTTCCATGTGTCACGTGGTTGCAGCACGTGTGGCTTTTGCAGTTCGTGTTCCTGTAGTCACCTGAAGAACTGGTGAGGGAAATTTAACAGCATCAGTGCACATCTTAAAATCCTATATTTTATTTTTTAATAGGCCTTTTATTATTGTCCCTTGGTTTTTGTTTCATTTTCGCTGTGGAGTTGCCCTCTATTTCTTGTTGCCTTGTTTACACCTTTTTTTTTTTTTCATAAACTCTCTGTTGCATTAACATAAGTACATTTCATCTGGGGAAGCCATTGAAGTAGACGGAGTACATTGATGTATTAGGGACTTTGGGGGGTTGTAGGTCTGAGTTGCTGCTCAGTCTCTTGTCTTTGACTTCTAGCTGTGTACTGATCTGTAGTCTAYGCTAAGTGGCTGATGTAGTCTAATTATTATTTCAGGAACTTTTATAGAACTACGTGCAGAAGAGCTCCATTAAAAATAATAATCCTTGAATTGTAAGAAGTTGCTGCCTTTGTTTTTCTTACAGAGGCTCTGCAACTATAAAAATGCCAGTATGGCATTAATTAGCCGTCAGTTACGCTGCCTCAGAATTGAGTAATGCTGAGTTTTGAATAGTCTCTGGAAGCACRGTGTGGGCAAGTTGCAGCTTCAAGACTGCTGGAATTCTCTTTCCTTTTTCCAGATACCTGAATGTGATTTATATGTGGAGTAGGAATAAAATCTTAAGCAGTAGTATACTGTTGTCATGTGTGGAATTGCAGAAGTCACCAGCATTACCACAAATTTTGTCTTTGTTTCAGCCTGTGGYGTTGCACTGGAGGCTGGGCATAGGTCACAGCAACACAGCTGGACTGTGTGGAATTTGCGCTGGGGACAGCCCAGGTAGCCTGAGAGCTCTGCATCATGGAGGGTCTTCCCTCAAAGCCGAATTTGCCATGGGCAGCCCTTTCTTCATCATGCTTTAGAGGGCTGTGAGCTGTATGGGAAAAGGACATGGGAGGGAAGCTATAAAAGGATCAAGTATTTCTCAACTCCCCTTGAGGTGGAAAGACATTTTGCAGATACTCTTACTATTTTCTGAAAAAAAACCCCACAAACTCAAAACGAACACCCCCGCCATAAGAAAAAAAAAAGCCAGCAACAACTCTCTTCACCTAAATAAGGAGAACAACTGGTCGTTTATTTTATTTTCTAGTTTGTCGTACTGCATATCTGCACTCTGTATAATACTAAGGCCACTTGGATTGTTTTTTTGCCAAAATTCAAGCTTTGTCCTTCAGCACACAGCAGAAGAAAGGTGATTACAAAAGTAGTTCCTTTCAAGCAGATCTGATGGTGGAGAATGCACTCACTGGTGGCTTTCCTCCTCCAACCTCACTGATTTAATCATGTACATGCAGCAGATTGGCCTGATCTTTCTGGTAGCTTGTGCCCTATGGAGGGTCTCTAGCAAGAGCAGCTTTGAGGAGCTTGACAGCTTCTGTCACCTGACAAACACTAGCTGACTGCCACTGTTGGTTGACTTTTCCTTATGACATGGCATGTGGAGAAGAGCTTTTGAGTCTTTCCTAGCGAACAGGGCTCTGATCTTCCTGAAAGTTGTGTTTGCTTCCTAACCATCTACTTCAGATGAGTTTGTGCTGGTTTTGTACTCATGAACTGTGTATGTAGTTGAAGTTCTTGTTTTGTACTCAAAGGAATACTTACTTCTTGCAGCAGCTTCAAAGAATCTGTATGACCTTGGCCAGACTTAAAAATCACAAAAGTGGGAAAAATCCTAGCAGAACAGACTGCATAAAGCAAGTTTATGCAGATTATTTAGGAATGAGACCTATTTGTCAGTGTCCTGCGCTTTGGTAGAATTTGATAGGAAAAAGGAAGACTTTTGTTAAAACTGTTGAACTAGCACAAGGCCTTGGAACAACMTGTGAGAATAACACAGAGTAGAAGTAAAGAGTAGGAAAGATCTTGAAGTGCTTCCAGAAGCATTGTCTTTAGCTGGGTATAGATTTTCACGTTTAATAACAAGGTGTTTAGGTGGCCCTTTCTGTTGCTGACTGTTGGCAGAAATGGAAGAATGCAAAAGGCTCCCAGACATTCTTTGCTACTCCTACACTTACAGAGAAATATCTGCTGGAAGGCATTTCCTTTTTTATTCTTTCCTTTTTTACCTTCTGGTTTTTAGAGGTAAGAGACTCAAAAATCGTTCAAAAAGAAAAGCTTCTTGTTTTATAAGTACAGGTAGAAGGTAAAATGAATTGGTCTCAGTTGGATTTAATTGTCTGACTTTCCTCTTGTGCTCGTATTTAAATACTTAGTTGTTTTCCTCCATTTAGGAAACCTCAAAGTCCAAATGAACGAATGTGGAAATAACCTTTTTTAAAASGTTGTTCTGTAAAATCATTGAATGGCTTTTCAGCCTTTCCTGGTATGTGTTTTCTGAAGCTACTTTGTTGAGCTTAATAAGTTTCTGTGTCTGCAGCATGTCCTTTATTTAGTAAATTCAGATTCTCGTTATCGAATTCTTGCTTAAGTGAAGTATTCTGTATGTTTTGATGGCTGTTCTCACTGCTTTGGAGCAGTGGAATGAGGTTAGATGTAACATGCGAGATGGGTATCTCCAATTCATATGAAGAGTATTTGAGCAATCGACTTGACATGTTAGGGTGTGACAGAATAGTTGTTCCAAATTCTTTACCCAATTTAGGTGTATATGCTCAGTTTGGTTTTGGTGGGTTGTTTGTGTGTGTTTAGGTTTTTTTTTTGGCTGTATTTTATTTTCTTTGGTGGTTTTATTGTTGTTCAGTTGGTTTGTTGTTTTTTTTTTAAGTTTGTTTCGAAGCACAAGCGTTGTGGGGAGTGAGCTCTAGGCTAATACCTAGCCTGGAATTAAGCCAGACTTGGAGTAGACCTGACATTTTTGGTATGTACACAATGGATTAGGAGTTTGCAGTTGCTTCAATGAACAGAAGTGCAATTCTTTAGCCTCAGTAGGGCATCACAAATAAGTGGTGTAAGTAACATAATCTTACTTTGATGTACCAGGTTTTACTTGCCCAATTTCCCACAGGATGGAATGAACCTCGCCTTGCCAGCATGGATATGTTGACCTTTTCAAGATGGTTAAGAACTATTGTGAAGAGCCAAGTGGAATGAACAAGTGAGGAAATGTTCATTTATTTCTAATCATTTCTTCTGCTGTGTTATTTCTTTACCTGATGTAAGTCAGCTTCTTAAGATAAGAAATCATCTAAAACCTGAAATCAAGAAGGTATTCTTATCCTTCGGGAACTTACAGTTGACTCAACTTGACATGTTGGGTACTTACTAACATGTTAGCTGTACTTAATCTACTCAAACCAATTAAGTATATTGCTCAGTGTTAAAACTTTGCTTAAAGTGAGAAAAATMAAATTTTAAATTTGTATTCTAATTATTCCTTCATCAGGAGGAAGCATCCACTTCTGCTGTCATCTGCTTTGTATGTTAGAAAGTATGGTTTCTTGACAGAAGAGTGCGTTATAGTTTTTAACAACAGATCTTTATTAAATGTGCCATCAGTGGCAGCTTTGGAAAGATGAGAAAGGACCCACTGAGGGGCAACTCAGTGAAGCTAAAAATGTAAGTTCTRTGCCATTGCTGTTTTATATGTAATAGAAATAGAGTTTTTTCCAATCTCAGCATGTAAGCATATATGTACACTTTTAAATTTATTTTAAAGCCAGAAGATTCGCATGAATATTTTATATAGTTTGAAATTAAGAAATTGTTCAAAAACCCCAGAGGCAAACCTTACCAAAAAGCTGTTACCATCACCACCAAGCAACGAAAACGGAACCTACCTCTTTTATATGTATGGAATTAACTATCTTGAAGTTCACAGAGAAGTTTAAAAATACATACAAACTGGGCAGCTTTGTTCRTATTGTTGGACTCTTTTTTAGCACTGTCAACATTGTTTAAGTTAGGACAACTTCTCTGGTGGCTAGAGGATGAATCAATTAGATACAGAAGTCTGAAAAACAAGACTTGCTGTAACTTTTTTTTTTTAATTGTTGAATACTTCTTCGTGATAGTAAAGAATGGTGTAAGGATGGCTAATCAGAGAGGTGAACCAAAAAAAGTCTGATGAGAAAACCAGCTGCAATTGTCCCAGCTCAGTTTGGCTGACTAGCATTTTCCACTATGCTTTCTCTTTTATTTTTGGAAGTCTGCTTCTTCCTTTTCCTGTGTATTGTTTTCCTTGTCATGCATTTCTGACTTCCTTGACCTCTTCATTGTTTTAGACATCTGTTTCATTTGTCTGTCCAAAGTCCATATACACATGATAGAAACTCGTGGGATCCTAGAGCTGCCATGTTTTGCTTTCAAAAATTTCTATGGCTTGAGAACATTAACAGTCCGCATTCTGCTAGATGTTCTATCTCTTGGTTGCTGGAAGAGATTGGTAGAGGATAATGGAGACGCGCTCTTTGAATGTGGCACTAATCTGGCATTGTTTTATATGTGCCAGTAATGCAGGGAGGGAAGAACTAAGTGAACATCAAAGTGTTGCCATTGATTTATTGGCATWTGTTGAATTGATAATCACTGGCAAAATACCTGTATTGTATAAAAACAGGTATTTTCTGGCCTACTCAGTAACTGTTATTGGTAAATAGTGACTCTGCCGTAAATAACTTCAGATTTCTGAGCCTTACTAAGATTTGCTAGTCTTCTGAATTATTATTTGTAAAAAATATAAGTTTATTATGATCATTACTAGAACTTTAATAGCTTTGGTATTAATGGATGCAAAGGAAAGAAGGGAAACYATGCCCTACTCCACGCCTGTATTTCAATTAATAATTGCTTTCCTTTTCTATACAAGATTAATCCAGTAACTAAATGTATTCATTCAAAGGCTTTGTGGCAGAAGTGTGGAGGGTGGACACTTCTGATGTCACCTGGCTCAATCAGATCAAGCAGGAGCGCCAGAAGCAGGTTACCAGAGACCTGAAACAGCTCAATTCAAGCAGGGCTGTTTGGTTAGGTTTTGAGAATTTTTTGGGTTGCAGATTCCACAACCTCTCTGCCAGTGTTTGAGCACTGACAAACCCCACCTGTTTAATCTTAAAATATCGTGCGTRTGGGGAAGTCATAAAAGACTTTTGGAAGATTTGGGAACATCTGTTAGGTCTTCCAATTTTGTAAGAGGAGTAGAGTTTCTGAATCTACAGAACGTGGATATTCCATAATTTTAACTGTCATCGGTAGCAGAGGAGTATTTGTGAGCTTGCTGCTTTGTATCACAAGCTTTATTTTTCTGGATTTCACTTATAAGCTACATTTTATTTGTTTTCTCTTCCAGAGGCAGTTTCAATGTCTAGTTAATTGGAAAATAAGGCTGCTCTAGCTGTCAGCCATTTGAAAAGAAGAAAGGCAGACATCTAGAAAATGCTTTCCTGTATGCTTTTGTATTTTTTTTTTTATCTTTTAACTATCTAAATAGAAGACATGAAAACATGATTGTATGTTTTATGAAAATTTCTCCGTTTTTTGTTTTATTCCAGGTCTGCTATTTCTGTTCAGTCTGTCTCAATTAGGAGACCTTTTTTTTCTGATTTATAAGCTTGGTGCTGTCAGCCCCGTGTGAACAAACCAGAACAAAAAGCACGCTGGTTATTAGAAAACAAAATGCCTCGGAAAAGGAAAACTGGTGGGAGTCCTTCTCAGAAGAATGGCAATTCTGACAGAACTGCTGTTGCTGTATCCCAAGGGGACCCAAGCCACTTAGTGGCACAAGCAGTGCATTATGTCAATAAAGAAGAGCTCTTCAACAGCATGTCAGAGATGTTTTCTGACCTAGATCCTAGTGTGGTTTATATGGTTCTGTCTGAATGTGATTTTAAAGGTAAATAATGTACAGCTGATGTTATAATTTTGTTTTATGTTCAGATAGCTCTTAACTAGGGCAACTCCAGCAAAGTTGGTGTGGGTGTTGCAARCATGTTTGTGAGTTTAGCTTTTAATAAGTAAGTGAGTAATAATATTTTGAAGTTTTACAACTGTGTAAGATTCTCCAAGTTTAACAGTGTTATTGTGAGGCTGCTAAATGGAACAGTGTGTTCTCTAAACGGATTCTGTGGATTGTTCTGTGACACAGAGCAGGTAGTGGTGGAGTTGTGAGGAGAATCTGGTTTTTCCAGTTAGTTTCTGTGCAATACCTGCAAGATGCCTAAGCTCTTTTTTCAAGAGGGGTATTTTATTTGTAGATCACAGTTTTTTAATGGAATACCATATGTGGTCCTGACAGTATTTGCTTTTCCTTAAATACTTGTATTGAGCTTTTGTTTTACTTTCATTTTGCATTGTCATCTTGTCATCTCCACTGAGGATTAGTTTCTSCAGGATAAATTGTGTTTAGCATGTTTAGTTCTCTGCGTCTTGCTTGAGCTATGTTTCTTTCGATGCATTCTGCCGACCTACATACCCACATCTGGCAGACTGTTTCTTTATTTATGCCCAGTCCTACCCATTCTTTTTYGTGGTTTTAAAATTCTTCTATATGTAAGTTGATTTGCTTATGATAAAAGTACCACATGGGATGCTGGATAGCAATGTCTGAGAAGATAGACTTGTCAGGGAAATAAGCCATATATGGAGCATTTTAGTAAATCTGTATTCATATGAACAGATGTGATTAACTGAGATTATTGTAAGGATATTTGCCAAGAAGGGAGATTTTGGCTATTTTATATGTATGAAAGCTAGATAACCATTAAAAGGACAGTTTTTCTTGCCTGAATTGTACAGAGTGGGAATGTGAAAGTGCTGTTATGATTGTTGTTCCTTTTAAAATTGACTTCAGTGGAATTTCTAATACATGCTTCAAACTCTTAATAAGATTGACCTTTATAATCGTAACAGTTTTATCAAAAGCTTATTGGAGAATGCAGTAAACATGTAGAGGTCATTTTGTTGTACTGTTAACAGCAGTTTAAAAATGGAAAGGTTAGCATATTTGAGTGCTAATAAGTTGTTCTCATACAGTAGAGAAGCTGGAATGATATTGAAGACCTTTTTTATGAGTGCAAAAATAGTCATACTTAAATTAACTTAAACTTTTTGTTACACTGTCTTTCAGGAAAATAAAAGCTTTACTTTAGGGCTCAGATGATGTTTGTGCCAGCTTTTAATTTTGTTCATGTTTATTSCTGGCACCCTGCTCCATTTAGTGGCTTTGCAAAGAATTAATGCAGATACTGGATTTTTGGGCTTTATTAGATGGGACATTTTAAAGTGGGCCATAGTGAACATACYTGGCATACTTCTGTCTCTTTAATCCTTCGTAGAGTTTTTCAGTCCATTTTACGCTATTTCACCTATATGAGATAGATTAGAAATAACTATCCATTTAAACATCCAGTTCTGATATTCTTTCCAGTTAAAATTAGTAATTTTTTGGCAGTATTTCATTAGTAATTTTTATTAGGTTGTTATTTTTCAGTATGTCTGTATAGATTTCTGCCTTCTAATGAGAAACAGATCAAGAGAGTTGCAGGAGCTATATTCAAAGGTGAATTGGTGAACTGTCCTTTGGTTATTTCTTTAGTTGTAATAAATGCTTCTTTGAGTAAAAAAATTGTGTGCACATCAGCTTGAATTTGTTCAGTTTACCATGCTCTATTCTGTTTATCTTACTCAACAGTAGAAAATGCTATGGATCATCTTCTAGAGCTGTCCACCCATGCCAAAGGAGTAACATCTTCAAAAACCTGGGGTTTTGATTTAGCAGCATCATCATTACCTCTTGCTAATCAGCAAAGAACAGTTGCAGTTGAAAGAATGGGGGAAMGTACTGCAGCGCATCGTAATTCTGGAGCAGCAGTAGAAAAGGTCCTGTCACCTGGTGTGCAGCTGACTGAAGAACTGGATTCCTTAATAGAAAATGCCTTTCAGAGCTGCAGCTTGAGTCGTGAATTGCCAAATTCTGCAGATGACCAAAGGGTAAATCAGCACCCCGTGGAACATGATGGYTTTACTGTATTTCCTGAGTGGGAAAAATCTGATTCAGTTTGCAATGTCCTACTTTTTTCACAGCAAGCAGAGACACATAATGAGGTTTTAGAAAACTGCTGTTCCCAGCCACCAGTGAGTCAGCTGAGCATCCAGACAAGCTCACCGGCTGCATCAGACACTTTTGCACAGAGACTGGAAGATTCTGATTTGTTGCAAATACATGTTCAACATGATGTGGCTTCAGAAGTATATAAACAATCAAATGGAGAAATACCATGTGAAAATTCTGATCAGACACAAAGTACAGTTTTGGATCAAAGTAGTGTGACTGCTGCTTCTGGTGGGTGCTCCCAAACWCCTGCAGAACTCGGAGCTGTTCCTGGAGATCCTAAATCAAGGTGCCTGGAACAACGTGAAGATGCAGTGACTTCCTTTAGCAGCTACCAGAGTGCTTCTCTTCCAGAGGCATCTATCTCTCTTGAACCATCCAGTTTCAAAACACAAAAACCTGTAGATACTCAGCAAACTCAGCAGGATTATAACTTAAATTTTTCTACACCATCAGGTCAATCTCAACAACACTGGAATCTCATGGCTCCTGTGTTTTATCCATCCAGTGGAAGTCCCAGCTTTGTAATTCCTGTTGCTGCCAGTCCAGGGCAGTGGAGACCACTTTCTGACTGTAGAACTTCAGAAAGGGGACTTTTTCTTTCCACCCCAGTGGTTTCAAATACTTGGGATGGCAACCCTTCTCTGAAGGTATGGGGAAATCAAGATAGAAACTCAAAATTGAACCTCTCGCAAGCACAGCAACCACGTATTTGTCACATGATGAGAAAAAAGATGCATCTTATAGGTCAAGTACTTGTTCTTCTCAGAGGTGTTCCAGGATCAGGAAAATCATATTTGGCAAGGTAGAACATTTATATTGTGAGCTTCTAAAAAAAATTGCTTAATTGTGTACAGGATTTAGCACAGGCAGAGAYAATTTTCTGACACTTGTAAATGGTTATGTGTAAACCCTAATTGCTGGCTACAAAGTACATGCAGTGTGATGAGTAATAACTGCTGAGAGATGAGCTTGCAGATCCTTGACCTCTAGTGGAAATTGAAATAGGAACTTCTATCACTGAACAAAGGAGTTTGTCAGCAGAGCATTATGGTCTGCTGTATTCTTTCAGTCCCAGTTTATTTTGAGTGTTTCCTTCAAATAACATTGATGGAAATATATCTGCTCTTTACAGGCAGAAATTCCCCTTTCACTGTGCAATTTCTTTGTATAAGTAGTATATGTGAAGCTTCTTGGGAGGAATTTTTGATTTCTTTTCTTGCTTTCTAAAARCCTAGATTGAGCTTAGACTCCTTTGACTGACACCTGAAACATTTGAAACAATTAAGACTGAGTATTCAAGTCTCTCTTGAAATGAGAGACTTTTATAGGGAACCTATATCAGCTCTCTCCCCTAAATAATACTCAGCCATTAGGAAAAAATGAAAAAAGGATTGAAATTATTATAGGTGGTGTTTGCTTGGAGGTTGGTTTTTTTTTCTCCTCTTACCTAAATTTCCTGCTTCCGTTCCAAAAATCTTGGTTTTGTGCAAGAAACTAAAAAAATGTAGGTATTTTAGCAGATATTGGAGCCTGGGAGAAGAAGAGGAAAATGCTCTTTATTTCTTCATCTTTCACAGGAATTTGCTTGAGGATAACCCAGGTGGAATCATTCTTAGTACTGATGATTACTTTTACAAACATGGACAATACCATTATRATCCTGATTGCTTAGGGGAAGCACATGAGTGGAATAGGAAACGAGGTGAGAAATAAATAAGGCATTAGTTTGCTTATTTACAGTTCAGTGCTTCTGTGCCATTTAAAAATCTGCCAGTGTTGGTAATGCCTATGTTATGGAACAAAATTTATCCCATCATGGAAATATTTTTTAATATACATGGAAAAATAATATGAACACAAACTCAGAAGTCATCTGTTCATTGTGTGTTTTGCAATTAAAAATGCCAGTGTCTTTGTCAAGAGTATGTTTTGTCCTCAGGTTTTRTTGTATGTATTTTGGGTAGTGGTTACCTACACCATCTCCCAGCCGCTTAGGGTTGGCTGCATCTGTTTCTTCCACGATGATCCATAATATGCATATGCAATTAGTAGTCAGRATACAGATAATACACAGATATCTTCCTGCTCTCATGATCTCTCTTTCTCTTGTACACTAAATTGTTGTCAAATTTAAACAAAATTATAAGAGCAAGACAAAATAAATTATTTTTTCCMCTTTTCACAATCAGGTGGGTTTCTTTGACAGTGACTTGTGCTAAACTCACCATAGAACAAATCTTCTTAAGCTTTTACTTGGTAAATTTGAACCCTGATCCCTTTTCTACTGTTAAATTTCTACCAGTGGAGAAATTAATTAATAATTATTTAATGTGATTAAACAAGRACTGTGATTATTAAGACATGTAGCATGGCTACAGAAACATGGTGCTGTGTCTCAAGGCTAGTGATTCTATAAATTTCATTACTGTGTATTTAAATTACAATAATTCTTTTGGTTTTTCGTATTTTATACAGTTTACAGAGTGGACTAATCTTAAGACTGTTAWAAAGCCAAGAATTTTGTATGCAACCAAGAAGTCCACTTTAAGGTGATCATGTAGTTTTTTTAGTTTAATTTAATGGTTGATTAGTCATCTTGGTGCATTTTACATCTGCATTTTCATTCCTTGATTATCATACATATGCTAATCGAAAAGCTAATGCCATATCTCAGTAGCTTTACATGAGATGGGGGGATTTCCGAAATAGAGGGCCTTGAAATAGATCAAGCAATGGCAAGARTTCTTCACACAGTGGTTAATCATTATGGATTATCTACATAAAAATACAACAAATTTAGAGAATTAGTATTATGCTCACCTGGTAGTAATGAAATGAACTGTGTCACATTATTTTGTACATGTGTATTTTTCAGCCAAAGAAGCGTTTGAAATGAGAATCTCTCCTATAATAATAGACAACACAAACATACAAGCATGGGAGATGAAGCCATATGTTACTTTGGTTAGTATTACAATTTGACCAATGTGAAAAGAGATTGTTGACTGGTATGACAACAGCATATGAGTGTCTTTCTCTGTCTAGCTCTTCCGCGAGGAAGTCTGGAGTACAAAAAAGGTGCTACATGGAATCATATTATCCAGTATCATGTTGTGTGGGTATCTGAGCATTAACCTGGCCTAGTTTCCAAAAGACAAAGCCAAGTGCTTTGTTCTTGGGGCCAACAGTAAACATTATTGAGGAAGCTGAATTTTGTTTCTTTTTTACACGATCAGTAAAATTAGACACTACTTTACAAATGTAGTCAACACTAATGAATGAGTTACGTGTAATGCTCTGTGAAATTTGAAAACTCAGTTTTGTTGTAAATATGACATAGAAGCAGATACCAGTTGGAGGCTAGAGYTACCAAATATTGCTAGCTTGCGTGAAGTTATGCAGATTTACTTAATACTTTTTATTGAAGTGATCTCACCTTTTCACTYAATAGTTTCTAAATGGTCATCAGCACTTTTAGACTCAAGAGCATATTTTACTCGTTGATCATTGCCCATATTGGTTGGGAAAACAGCATTATTTTATGAAATTGGTTCTGATTTACAGAAAATGAGATATTGGAAAAAATATTAAAATGTASATCTAGCATTTTTCCTTACCTGTTACAGAAACACAGCAGAGAGTATAGTAGGTAGAATTGACCGCTTTTGAGCAGGTACTCTACATATGCTGCATATGGTAACGGGTTAAAGAACAGGGAGACTTTAACACAGATAATTTTTGTTAATAAAATGTTTCTTTTAAAATAATTATCTTTGCATTTATTAACAATTGTTAGATTAACAGCTCTTTMATAAATAATGTCTTTCATTTTGCTGTATACTGAAATAAAGATGCAACAAAAGCTCTTCCAGAACTGTAGTGTTTTGTGGTGAGAATTTTTTCTGAAAGGAGGAATGGGGAGAAATGGCTCAGTACTTGGAGTGTTACTCCTGATTAAACTTTAGGYTCCTTTTCTGTCATGATGAGACTGGACTATATAGGAACCATTTGCTTGCAGCTTGGTCAAGTTTCTCATGTGTCAGGTAGGCTGTCCACAATGGATGGTTTATTGTAACTGAGTTGCTTATTTTGGAGCTGGTTCACATCTGGTCAGCTCTGAATGGAAGCTGTGTGCTTTCCTGTCTTGGAGAGGCTGTTTAGACATATGTGTGCTGTATTTGGAAAGAGGAGATATCTCAGAGAAGGCACATCATAGCTTACATTTAATTTTACAGTAAGAGATAAATTTACATGTTCTTAAAAATCTCAATTTGTATAAACCAAAGTGCAATAGTGAACAAGTGTTATTCCAAATGTTTAATAGGAATCAGAAATACAAAAAACAGCTTTGAAGAAGCAATATGCATATTGTGTGGTTTGTCATACAAATAAGAAATGGGTGATGTGTCTTGTTTTGTTTTATATCTCTTTTATTCAGGCTCAGGAGTTCAAATACAAAGTAATGTTCCGAGAACCAGACACTTGGTGGAAGTTTAAACCAAAAGAACTTGAAAGGTAAGAATGTAAAGGAATATAACAGGCAGTATAAGCTRTGATTAAAAAAAGGTATCGCTTAGTACAATGGCTAGTGAAGTAGCGAAGTATGTGTCAAAATTTTTGTGATAATAAGTAGTTTTTTAGTTTGGTTTTTTAAAAGTTATTTTGTTGACTTTCATATGTGTTGTAAGATATTTTGTCTTTAGTCTAGTTACATGCAAAAAATACTGTTAGCAATMGATACTGATGTTTTCATGATTAGAGTTCTTTCCCTTTAAGGTATAGTGACTGCTCTTTTGGGCTCCAGAGGTTGCAAAAATTTTGTCAGGTTGGGGCTGTTTTTTGCATCCAGCTGGTCTGTTGCTTTAGTTGAAGTGTTTCTGCTGTCACTGAATTTAGGGCAATCAGCACCTCGTGGCTTTAGAGGGACAAACCCCTGTGCATCATTATTGTTGCTTACCTCTTTTTTAGCAGGACCTTCTGTTACTTAGGGCTGAAATAGGCTAGGCGTAAACCCTATGTAAGTGAATAATAAAACATAAGAAAACATAATAAAATGAGAAAATTGGCTAGATGCCTGGTTCAAATAGTATGATCACTGTCCAAAATGAAGGCTTATGTCTCTCTGGGGAGGGACTGCAGCTATTTCATGTCATTTTTTTATGACTTAGGTACCGGGACAGAGTGCATTCTTAGCAAWTTTGCAGGTGATACGGACCTGAGCAAGAGTAGTTTATTCAGCCTTAAGGAGACATCRTTGAAGAATGATTGTATTGTTGTTTCCCGCTACCTTTTGAAAGGTTATAGAGAAGACTAAAAAGAATTGTGCTGGGATAGGACAAAACAAACATCAGCAAGTTGGAACCTTTGATTACATAAAAGAAAAAACCCAGCGTTTACTTTGAAGGTTGTTAGGTACTGAAAGAGTTTGCCCAGAGAGTTTGTGGATTTTCAGTCATTTAGGATATTCAAAATCTGACATGACAAAGCTCTGGGCAGCCTGATCTAGCTGTACTTCCTCTGAGTGGGAGACCGAATTGTGACTTCCCGAGGTCCGTTTCCACAGAAGTTATTTTGTGATTTTGTAATGTTTRTTGTCAACTGAATTTGCATGCTTAGCTTAAGGTTGGCTGCTTTTTAAGTGAGGCAAAGTATTATTTTCCTAATTAAAATAAAAGTTAAACCTTTTATTCTGTATTTTCRATTTATTTTTCACTATCCTTGGCATGATTCACATGTAACTGTGGTAGAACACAGTGCTAGTTGATGCTTAACACAGTCAGTGAAAATATCTCGCCAAAAGGTGTACAGAATAATAGATGAATAGGTTTTCCTCAAGGTTCAAGGAGATTTTAGTTTAGCAAAATTAGAGAAAGAAGACTGATTTTTGAAGTCTTCTTTAYCCAGTTTGATGTCTTGCATTGTTGTCAGAATCTGATATAGTGTGTTTTCTGAAACTTACATGAAGAAGATGCATTATTAGTACAGTTTTAGATTCTAGTATTATGCAGAACATCTAACTGGAGTACAGGGAGACCAGATGGGGTGGAGAAGTGGTGCAGCAATTTGTCTGATGTATCCTGTTTGGAACACCTTAGTGCACTGATACAGAAAGAATTGCTGTTTMACAGCTGTAAATTTATGAAATTACTCTCTTCTGTCATTGTAATATAGAAATCTGAAATGTCTGCTCTTACTATTTTTTTCCTTTGTTTTTTATTTGTTTGTTTATTCTTTTTGTTTCTGTGGTTTTGTTTTTGTTTTGCTTTTGTTTTCAATTCATAGGCGAAACATTCATGGTGTGTCTAAAGAAAAGATCAAAAGAATGTTGGAACGGTATGAACGCTGCCTTACTGTTAGATCAATATTGGATTCTTCAGTTCCAGACAAATCAGAAGCTGCTGGTGGGAGTGAAGATCCTTGTCAGGAGGAAAGGCAGAGGTTAGGTTCTTTCACTAGCTTTTGTAGTATCAAATAAAAGGGTAAAAATTTAGCCTTTTAGCTTCTTAGCAACAAAACCTGTATAATAGTGTCAAATGGTGAATGCATTAAAAAAGGTAGTTAAGTAATAAAAAAAATGCCTAGATAATTTTCTTAATTTTTAAAAATTTCAGGATTTCCAGAAATGAGCAGTCAAGGGATCTAGTCAGCTTTCCAATACTTTTTGAAAGCCTCCCATTATGGCTGTGTTATTTTTCAAGAAGCCAATCTTGACTGACTTTCTGTYATCTTGGAAATGTGTTGTTGGATGTACGTTGTAGATACAAAGCACTTACAATCTATAAATTGCTTTTTAGAAGAATGTAGTCCCAAATAAGAGCAAATTACTATTTCCAAATTTCTATGTTGGTATTAGATTATATCTTTGTGGTCGAAGGTGGATTCTTTGTGCAGTAGTAACAAGTTATCTACTTGCTCTTCAGCATACTCAATTTAAACTTGTCTAGGTTTACATTGGTTGCATACATGACTGTTTCGTAGTTACTAACCTGGGCAATGCCATGTATTGCGAAGCACAGTGTTGTGGCTCAGGAATGGTTCTCCCCCGTTCGATGCCCCCACTGAGACTCTCCCAAACCACGCTCTGCTGGTTTGCTTCTCCTCCTCTTCCCRTTCCTGCTCCAGCAATGATGTGAGGTGGTATAGAATCACCTCCAGGTTCTGGACAAAACTAGGACACATAGGAAATCAGATTTTATTTCAATTATTATTTCACTTGGTTTTTGCATGTGTAATGTATTTTAAATGATAATTAATGGAATGTAGTTAATTGAGAAAAATGGTTTGACAAGAAATGGCACATTTCTCTCCTAGTTATGTCTAGACTGCCTTTAGCATTAAGCCAACAGGAGAAAGCAGCAGTCATCAGATGAAAGTTTATTTACCAGACTTGGTGATCTGAATGAGGAAATGTCTGGCAGCAGAGTGTTTTAGTACAAAACAGTGTTGGAAATCAGGTGGTGGGGAGATTGACTCCTTAGAAAGGGGGATACTTAGCAAAGCAAATTTATCTTTTCTCATGCTTTTTTATTGAGTAGTGTTGGAGTTACAGCCAAGTCATAAATTTATTTTCCTCTCACTAGAATTCTAACTAGATTCTAACCTTTTCATTTTAACTGGAGTTTAAAATGTGGACAAATGGTTTAGGAAGATTTGAAATGGGTTTRTATTTCATTCAAATTTGTCTTTCAGAAAGAAAGAGGCACATTCTGATGTAAAGGAAGAAGGATGTTTTGCTGCTGAGGTGGAGTGTCTTGAGTTAGCTGAAGTTGATAAAACTTCTCCTGGTACTTCTCTAACATTAGAAAGCAGTTGTGATCCTGAGCATTTTCAGAAAGAGGAAAAAGAAACAGAAAATAACTCAGTGGAACACAATTCTGAGAAGAGCACTGTTCAAGATGACTTGGAAGTTAGTTTATCAGATTGCATCGAAAAAGAACTRCCCTTGGAAAAGAAAGAAGAAAAGGGAGAAAAAATAGAAGAAAATACTGAAATGGAAATGGATAAGGTTGATGTGATCCCAGCTGAAGAGACTGTGAACTTATGCACAGGTGGAGCTAAAGAACACAGCGATAACAACATTCTGAAACTTCAAACTGCAGATGAACAATTGGGCAACGTATGTGTGGAACCAATATCAACACAAGCTAGTAACACAGTGGAACCAAGCAGTTCAGCTTTTGACCCATCAGAAAAACTGGAACTACTAAACTTTGTGGGTGATTGGCCCATAGAACAAACAATGGGACAGCGAGTCAAAAGATCTAGAAGACTAGAAAAATCTCCTCTGAAGAATGATAAGGAAGGTGAAACTCCCAGTCAGCAGCATTCTGAGATAGGTAAAGAGCAAGTGGGCCTGCCTGACACATGTACTCTTGAGAAAGGACATGAGGAAGCAAATCTACTCTCTAGCTGTTACTCTGTTAGTTCAGATAAAATTACACCAGAATTGCCAATGATAGGACATTGGCCTGTCTCAGCCTCATTAGAACAGAGACAACAAAGGTCAAGGAGAATGAGGAAGGCAAATTTAAATCAGTCTGATGAAGACAGAAATACTGAAGGTGACACTAATATGAATGCTCTTGAAACTGTACATGTSATTGATGGGCCACCTGTGAACGCTGAAGAGCAACAAGATATAAGGAGTTTGTCTATGCACCAAGAGGAAATAGTAGCTAGTGAAACAGTAAGTGAGGAAAAAACCCAGCAAAACAAAAGAACAAGGAAACATCACAAATTAGCCCTCACTTTTACAAATAGCAGCTTGCCGCATCCCAGAGAAGATGACCACTTGTCTAAACTTAACATGGCAGAACAGAAACAGGAYACAAACATACATAGGCAAAAAAGTAGCTGTTCACAGACTGAATCACAGGATTTTGCTCTCCTGTGGAGATTAGAAAAGAAAATGCTTTTTCCTGAGACAACAAAAGTATTGCATGGTAGGCTAGATGGCTTCAAACCCAAAGATGTAGACAATACTTCAAATTCTCAGGAAAAAATACCCTATCGAGTTRCATACGATAAAAGTACGTTTGTGGAGGAAAGTGAGCTTAGCAACATTGATGAGTCTGAAGAACTAGACACACTCTGTAAGCTCTTTGAGTCTGTTTCATTTGAAGCTCTGAAAGATCTGTATGAAAGATGTAACAAAGACATAGACTGGGCCACAGGTCTGCTGTTAGACTCTGATGAAAAGTTACGTAAAGCTGTTGATACTGAATGCTTTCCAGTAAGTGAAGCTGAGCCAGTGGTCGCAGACTTTGATTTCAAGGCAGATACAAATTATGATGAGAATCTCAAAGACTGCAAACAAACCCCAAAATTAATTGAGGCCAGTGATATCTCTGAAGCTTCAGAAGACAAGAACTCACCACTCAGCACTGCAGAAAGTAGGGCTGCCAAAACAGCTGTGACAATTGCTGATGTGTCTGACTCATTCACTGCTACCTCATTGGATGAGTCAGTAGAACTGAAAAATTCTGTGGATTCAGTCCCTAGAGCTGACAGGAGCAACTCAGAAGCAGGTGTGTTTGAGCTGTCTGTTTCAGGAAAGCAGGAGATAGAGAGCGAGACCCCTCTTGATGAAACTGTAAATAAGCCATCACTTTCACAACTTGATGTAGGTTTGCCTCATGATCCTAACCCAACTTTTACCAATTTGGAATTTGAATTAAATAATGAAAGTGACAGTAACCCTTCAGAAAGCAATGCAGAGAATTCCAAAGTGAGTGGTTTGTTACTGGAAGAGGATCGTGCACCTGTGGTTGCTCCAAGGAGTGATAAAGAGCTGGACATGGATACAGAAACTCAGGAGAGTTCCTGGGAGATGTGTGGTAAAGAAGAAGCTGAAMCTCCAAGCTGTGCTGCAACTAAAGCCAAGAGACAAAGCCCTATACCAGCATCACATGCAGCCTTCAGTATAGATTGCCTAGAACTAACACTGCCTCCTGAACTGGCACTCCAGTTGAAAGAGATATTTGGACCTGTAGGCATTGATGCAGGTATGATATAATTATATATGTGTTTTTMTGGAAAAAAAAGCTAGTTTGGGTAGGAAACCTTTCTTTGTCTATGCTTTTTTCCCTTCATGCTTGAGTTTTAGGGAATAAATYCCCATAATTCCTCATGAGGCTGTTGTTAATGCAAGAATGAAACTGAACAAAGCATGGCATAAAATACCAGTGCAGTAGTGCTACCTTCTGCCTTCCTCTTTTTGTACATGTGCATACATTAAAATAAAAATATATTGGCTTATTTGCATTTTGAGCAACAGGCCTTTGACCTTACATTCAGACTCTGAAGAGATATTTAGATGATAAGGARTACGCAAACTGTGGCTGATTAGGAAAGAAGAAAAGGAAAAAACCTCTTGGCATCAGTTATGTTGGGGAACAAGAAGATGAATTGTTAAGAGAGATGAAATGTGGCTGTATACTTAAAAGATGAYATCAGACTAGTCTGCTGGCAGATTATGATTAAGGAAGCCATTAGCAGCTTGAACAACTCAAAAGTTAAAGAGTGATAGAAAAGCAAAAAGAAAATGGAATATACAGCTTGATGTTTTTCTCTTTTTCCCCCACTTTTTCATTTTTTTTCCCTTGTTTACATCTTTCTTCTTGAAGATTACTTGATGTGAAACCCCGGATACCTGATTTATTATGGATTTGATTGCTGGCGTCCTTGCTTTACATACCTAGCTCAAAAAAAAAAACCCAACTAGTTTGTTTTGTGTAGCAGAAAAGTGTTTTATTATATTTGAAATATGCCCTGTATTTTTATTTTATGCATGTGTACTTCTTGCTTTATTTTTGAAAGGGTGAGAAACACCGTTTTTAGGAAAAAGAGCTTTTATTATGATACCATGGTAATTTCTGCAATTTCCTTTAGAGGGGATGCTTGGAGTTTGTTCCTCTGAGTTAGTGTGTTGGAAAGGAGGGATGTGATTGCTGTCAGGCTGTGGTGGGTATGTTGTATAGAAAAGGAGTTGTCATGTGGATTGCAATGGAATAGGGAGAATCACAGTTTTGTGGATGAAACTTGTTTCCATTAACAGTGGCTTTGTAAAAGAAGGGTCTGCTAGAAAAACAGAAAAACAGGAGGAGGAATACAGTCACCCAGGTAGTCATATTTGAACAACGTACAGTTAATGTTAACTTGTTTCTTTTCTACCCTTTTGGAGTTTTTGAACACCTGAGAACAATTTCTGTGGAATGCTTTTTTAATGTTTAGAAGTTCTGTCAGGCATGAGCAATATATGTAAAATCTCCAGAGTTAAAATTAGTAAGTCTAGGCTACTGTACTTTAATTGCTTACCTAAGTTTTTATAGAATGCTTTTAATGAATATCTTCTCTTTGTTCCACAAGGGTCCCTAACTGTTGAGGATTGTGTGGTTCATATTGATCTGAATTTGGCAAAAGTGATTCATGAAAAATGGAAAGAATCTATTCTGGTTAGTAGATTCCTTGCTTGAGATATGGTGTGGAATGCTGGTCTTTTGTCAGACATGACATGGTCATGGTCTAAAGGTGTTATCTTTGCAAGAACAATGATAAAATATAATAGTAGCTTGTAAAATGTGTGGAGTGTATCAGTACGTCATAATCATTGGAGCTAATGAAAGACAGTTTAACGGATGTCATGAGTGCTTCATCTTGAAAACAAGATTCTTGAAAAGGAAAGATCATAGTGCACAATTTCACCACCAGATCGATGAAAATTTCTACTGGCAAAAAATCCTTGGTTTTTTTTGACCTTTGAAAAGAGTTCTTTTATGAATTATTCTCTATACAAAACATCTCCGTGTGCAATAATTGAGATGAGTTCTCTAACCTGTGTTCCTTCACAGCTTTATGAAACTTTGAATGCCTTTTGGCAAAACTTTTATTTGGTTTATATAATTAAGGCTATGAAGTCTTAGAAGTGGAGCATGTTTCTCTGGTTTGATGTGTTTTCAGAAAGACAATTCTAGCTTACAAATTTCACTTCATAATTATTTTTCTTAAACGTATTTCTTTTAAAATATTTAATCTTTGAGAAATACTGTGAGACCTTATTTTGAAACTGCTCTAATTAGAAGCTAACACTTACAAATTTTTCCTGCAAAATTCATAACTTATAACATTCATGATTTTACTGTTTTTGTTTAGAAGCGTCAGAGGAGAGATGAATCATGTAAGTTGTCTGCAGAAGGTATGTTGTGTATTTCTCTTAATTGTAAAAATACTTAATTTTCATTATAAAAATATTTAATTATGTGAAACTTAAGGTTGCAAATACTCCATCTGTTGAAAAATTATGAATTAATTTATTAAGCTAAACTTGATTGCCCTTGGATCCATTTACCAATCTCTTATGGAGGTGTGGGGGAGGGGAGGGAAGTTAATTATAAGCAAAATCACTAGTTCCAGATAAGGCCTATAATTTTGTCACATTCAGAAAACTTTGAGAAGCTCTGGCTGAAGCAGACAGCTGTTGGTTAGGACTTCTGTAATCTCTGTTGCAAGAGAAGGTGCAGCCAGAGAATTAAGAGAGTAAGATTTTCGCAGGTGAGGAAGGAAGGTCAAGAATACAACAGTTACACGTTGTTCTTGTCAGAGATGATTTTAGCAGGAAGATGGATTCTTCAAAAAGTGTTAACATCTCTCACAACCCACTTTTCATTCAGCTCCCAGAAGAAATCTCCCTCTTTGGCAGAGCCCCACTGCAGACTTGGATTGCAATGTGGGTGCAAACCCTGCACTCAGTGACCAAACAATACTGTTGCCATTAGCATGTAGAAGCATAAAACCAGATTAAGCATCTGTAGAACAAAGGCAGGTAAACATATGAGTTAATGATCCTTTAAAAAAAGCAAACAACCCCCCAGTTAATGTATGTGCAAGATCATTTACTGCTCTAAGATAATGTCTTAGCACTTGAAAATTTGGTGAGGAAGTTTGATGGTTTTCTTTTGTTTCACAAAATAGATAAAGATGATCAAACAGTCTTTGGAAAATGGAAGTGAAGAAGGTGAAAGCAATGTGTTGGTTTCTATTTTAGCATTAATAGTCTTGTTTTAACAAAACTCAAACTGTGTAGGTTGAAAAACTTGTCTTAATTATTTCAGCATTSTTTGTGTATATAAGCTAATAAGTGTTTTATTTGTCACCTCACTTTTATTGCTTCTGAATGTCCTACAGTGATTCAGCCGATAGATACAGATGACTCAGAAATGCTATTGTCTCAGAATGCAGACAATAAAATACAGAAGAAAAAAGCGAGCTGGGCTGCAGGCACGTCTAATGACATAACGACAAAAACCCAAGCAACTTCAGACGTTTTTCCATTTATGGATCATTGGAATGCTCAGATTCAAAAAGTTTCACTCAGGCAAATAATTTCTGAAGAAATAGCTATGCAAGAGAGACAGGACCTGGTATGGATAGCACCATTTTTTTAATGTGATGTAGATTACTGTTAGCGAAATAGAGTATGTCTTATGTAGTGACTCATCCTTGTATTGCTGATTACAGCTTGAATTTGTGAGGCAAATGCATGCCAGTTAGTATTGTTGATTACTGTAATACAGGAGTTTGCTTGTGGTAGATGATTCTATTTGAAAAATACAGTCTCATTTGGAATGTAATATTTCGATTGTTTCACAAACAGATCGTGCTGCATTTCACTGTACAGGTTAGCATTTGTGTCTGATTGAATTGTTTTTTGATTACGCAGCTAAAAAAAAARGATCAATGTTATCTTCTGTGCTTTTTACTGTGACAGTGATATGAAAAAAGTTCTTAGTTGGCTCCGTACCTTGTTTGTTTACAAGTGTACTGAATTGGTTTTAGTATTTTTTTGTAAGGAGAACCCACAACATTCCTAACAGACAAAATATTAAAATAAGCACTTGAGGTTAATCTCAAACAAGTTTCTGTACCCACTTCTCAGAAAACAGTAAATCTTAAGTAGATTTTTACTAGTTCTTTGTTTTCCACACAGTTCCTGTACCCTGCCTGTTTGGCTTGTGCCTGATACTGCCCTCTACTGCCTCACCGAGGTTCAGAACAGGCGTTCTTAATTGTAATTGTCTCTGATAAGCAGCTGTCCTAAAGCAGGGGAGGTTTGAACTGATGTAGAAAGTTGGATGGAGTAGCCTGTATTTTGAAAATAGCTTGTGGATTCTTTTTCTGAACTGCATGTATGTGCCCTGCTGATAACAACTGTGTGTCATGTCCACAGCTTTATTTTCAGTTTGGATTCATGGAGCTTGGCTTTATTTTGACCACTTCTTTGCCTTTTTAAAACAAAAAATCTGAATATTGGAATGATCAGTCCAATTGATTCTAGGCTATAATTATGTCATCTTCTCAGATGCCTTTACAAATAAGGATATTAATTACWTATGCAGCTTCACGTACACCAAACCAAAACTGTTTATGCTGCATAATAATAAAGTGTTGTTTCAGTCCCAGGCCCACAGTATAGAGAAAAGAGATGGACTTTGCACAAGCTTAGCACTGGACTAGATGGACTGGTGTGGAATAAATTTCTAAACTTAAATTGCTCCGAAAATAYTCTCCTTTTACTTTGTCCAAGTTGTGAGGGAGCTCTGGCTGCATTACTTCAAAAAACTGCAGAGTCCTGCAGTGGTGTATAATAGAACTCATCTACCCTTACTTTATGCTGATCAATGTGGCAGGCTGATATGGCATGTTGTCTTTGCTGTGGTAGATGCATACCCACTAAGTAGATACTTCAAAAATTGTAATAGATAATGGTAAGGTTGGATTGGCTCCACCTTTACTGTATTTTGTTCTAACCAGGAGCTTGTAATATATTTCTTTTGTCTTCTTGGGTAGAATCGTGCTCCTTCTACAGCTAGAAAAGACTGTGCTGCTAAACTAAAGGAGAAGCAACTTTTTGAGATGTTTCCAACTATTAATCAAAATTTCTTAATGGATGTYTTCAAGGACAACAAGTAAGAAATCTTTTAGTTCTTTGTAAARATGGGACTTAGTTACAGTTGTAAATATTGATAAAGAATTTCTTTTTCCAAACTAGCATCTTTTGTTAGTCCAAAGCAAAACTAGCCAGTCTTAAACGCAAAAAAGGCGTAAAAACTCTCTGTGTAGGCTCATTTGTTTTTAAGGGGGAATAGACGGCTTTTCTTGCTGAGAGAAGAATGTCTCTGGCTATTGATCACTGACTGACTGTCAGTGAACTGCATATTTTCTCTACAGCTGAGGTTTAAATGTAGTGGGAAAAATTAGTGTGAGTGTGTTGTGGTAATAGTAGGCTCACAGAAAATGGCATCTGCCCAAAAGGAAAATACTGCCAGCACCTGATGTTACCTGTGAGTACTTTCCTGGTTACTACAGCAGCTCTGAAGGAATGGGCCATCTCTCCATCTCTTCCTGCTGATATTCTCTTTCTCTCCTTGGCATTATATTTCTGGGGTMTGTGTCTACCTTCTTAAAGTTTCTGAGAAGAAAATTTTTTTTTAAAGAAGAGAAACATCTTTTTTCATCCCTGGGCCATTTGAATGTCTGTCTCTACATATGGCTTTGCATACCTACTTGTCAGTCATGCTGCTTGTCCAGGTTGTTATAAAAATCTTTCCTGTTTAAGATACATCATTCATCCATTTCTATAGCTCAAACATTTCACAATCTAAATGCACATTCTAAATTGTCTTCAAAGTGTTGCCTTTCCCAAAATCTGTCTTTACTTTAAATCAGTCTGCTCTTGTTAGCTTACTAAACAGCAAGAATAAAGAAGAAAGAGGGCTCATTAGAAAGCTGATGGCAACTGATGTCTTACTTAATTGAATCTGATAAAAAAAAGTTTGACTAAAAATACAAGGATTTTTCTTCATTAGGGTTTCAGAAAACTGAGCTAGTTTTAAATTAGTTCAAACTAATCCTGACTAGAGAAGATTTAAGATGAGCTATCTTACCCAGCCCAAAGAGCAGCATTTATTAATGTCTCTTTGATTAAGGCAGGATGCAGTTTACATCAGTATGTCATTTTCCTTTTAATGTTCAAGTGCCCCTCAGTTATGTTTCACCAAGGCTGCATTTGTGTGTTGATGCCAGTAATACCCTATACAAGGRGTCTGCAAGCCTTTTTGTAATAATAACTGGAATACTCCATTCCAGTGCTTTATTTTCATTGTAATCTWTTTCTGTAACAATATCAAGGTTTTTAATATGCATTTGGATAAATGTAGCAGCTATTAGTATATTTGTAAAGTCACAGATTTTATTTTTCCTTTACAGCTACTCTTTAGAACAAACTGAACAGTTTCTGAACTGTGTTCTGGAGGCAGATCCTGTAAAAACAGTTATAGCTCAAGAAAGTGTTCAGCAAAATGAAATTGTTTCTTCCTACAGTGCCACAAAGAGCCGTGAGAAGAAGGTATTTATATATTTTTTAAGTAATAGTTACAAACATAGCCAAAACTGTGCTAATGACCTTGCAATGCATTTGTAACTTCAATGCTGCAAATTTCCGCAGGCAAAAAAAAGTAAGGAAGAGGATGATCCTTTGAATGAAATGTTTCAAGACTTTGAGTATCCACAATATGATGATCTAAGAGCAGAAGCTTTTTGTCACCAACAAAAGAGACAGGAATGTTTGAAAAAGGCTGGGGAGGCCTATCGCATGGGTATGAAGCCTGTGGCAGCATTTTATGCACATCAGGTAAACAWAAGTATTGTGCCTTTTGTCTGAATTTAAGGAGGTACTTAAACACTGAATTGGAAGTGGTAAGGAAAACATCATGCCTATATTGATAATCACAAATTCCCTTTCACTAGTAATGATAACTGACACAGGAAGCTAACAATCAAATTCAGTATGAGACCCCAGGAAAGGTGATATCTGGTGCTTCGTCGCACATGCTCCTTTGTCCTAGATCTCTCTCTCATCACATCATATACTCATAAACACTGAGATTTGTGTCCAAGTGGTCTGGCCAGGTTCACTGGAGTGTGACATGGTCTGCAATAAACATCATTTTTTGAAACCTTCTCTATATGTTGGTGCTGAACTGTTTTTAGACACCTCTTCTGTACTTTATAGGATTCAGACAGGTATTAAGATGTCATCTTTTGCCATAGAATCTTGCTTGCTTCATCCTTCATGAATCTTGGGCAAGATTGCTGCCTGCTGTCCTTGCTTCTTTATTCTTATTATCTTTATGGCTAGAGTCTGTCTTGGGTTGGGATAAATGAGATGTGTATGTCATGCTTTTCATGATACCTCTGATTTTAGAGTGTAGATTTGCTGCTGATGAGTCTTGTGTGCTCTGGCCTTGGAGCACAAGGTCTCTGGTCTTGATTCAGGTGCATTTCTTGGAATATACCACTTTGAGTACTGCTCATCAGTGCTGTTGATCATACTCTTGGTTTTAAGTATCAATTGTTCTTGTAATCAAAGTTCCTTTACTTTGGTTCCTTGGTGCCTTCACAGGAGACCACTCCATTGACACCACTCTTTAAATATTCTGTTACAAATACCTTCAAAGGCTGTAGTTTTTCCTGATCTAACAGTGTATAAAAATTTGGTAAGAATTCACATTATAGAAGCATCTTATTTTAAATTTTGAACTGCATTATGACAGAATAAAAATGTAATAATAAATAACTTGAATTTGCTTATTAAAAAAAGTTTTCATGCAAGTGGTATAATTCTAAAGGTTTAGATTGTGTGTGTAGGAAATACTGCTTATCAATCTTTATAATGAACCTTTTATGTTCTTAATTCCTATATTCTTGAAGTTTTGAGATATTCTAAACAAAGGTGTGCATTATTTTAAATAGAAATCTAATTTCAAGTCCTGTTCTACTTTTGTTCTTATCCATAAGAGCAAATACAACCTATTGTAAATCTATTAAAATTTATTTATTGCCTACTTTCTTTTAGGTAATAAAAAGGCAAACTAAACTAACTTTATTCATAAAAAATACTTTATGCTTGGTGGCCTTTGTCTTGGGAATCCTTTGGAAGTGAGTTACAGAGCTGCTGTCTTGTGTATGACACTAATTTCAGATGATCCATTTTAAGAAAGCGTAAGATAGTCGCTTTTGTTCTCTTGAGCCTTTGTCAGTACAACACCTGGAGTTAAGTCTTCCATTCCTTTTCAGACTGTACCTACAGATCTTCAAGGACATAATTTGTTGTTTCGATCTCTCAGATATTATCCCCTCAAGGTTCACAGGAAGGAGTTGGTACTTGTTCACTCTGTGTCTAACTGTACTGCTCCTTGACTGTCGTGGTTTGGACTGTGCTGAAAGCCAAAAAAGCACTGCACCCATGACGTTCTCTCCCCTCCCCCCACCGGAGAGGAAGAAGGGAGAGCAAAAAGCCCAATTAACACGAAAATTTATGGCTTTCAGATAACATAACATAATTGAGAGAAAGATACGTATGTGCTCCAGCGAATGGTCAGACAGGCTGGATAACTTAAGTTGCAAAATAGATTTATTACTACAAACTGCTAAGAATACTACCGCACCGG